TCCCGGATGATGATACAGTCAACACCTGCAGCAGAGTCTGTCCTTGTTGTGCTAAAAACCCACTGACCACTGTGGTGTAAACTCAGACTCACCCTGGCACAACTTGGCTCTCATTTCCAGGGGACTGACCCTGTATGGACCTGAAGGATGGGGCCTTGAGCCTTCGGTGGTGCTTGTGTTGTTCAGCTGCTGTGCTTAGGGAGGGCGATGCTGATGTCGTCTGACTTTGCTTTGGAGGAGGAATCCTTCGTACAAAGGTTTGACCCTAAGGAGTGTGTGTGTGGAGTGACTCCAGCAGCATTTAGAGATGGTGAAAGGCACTGAGCTGAAAACCCTGGAGGCTTTTCTAACATGCTTGTCCTCAGCATACCCAGAAGCGCTTATGAAAGCTCCACTCTCTACACCATCATGTCTCATACTGAAGTAAGCCACTTCTCCACTTGAGGAGAAGCCAGTGCTGCTGCTCTCCCATGAGTGAGACTGGGAGATTAGGAGTCATGATTTCCATAGCCAACATAACCATACTAGTAGAAAGATGCTGTGAGAAAAGCAACTGTTGGACCCTGTGCGATCATAGGAGCTGTTTCCCAAATGGGATATGGGTAGGGCAGCAAAGACTGTAAGAGCAGGTATCATCTCGTGTGCCCTCCTGCAATCAGGGTCTACATCTCTTAAAGGTTTTCCCTCCAGCAGAGCAGTGAGTTCCCGGTTCAAATGCTGCCCAGTAAATACAGCTTCAAAATACATCTTCTGTTGCCTGGAGGCACTGAAGGGCTCCCTGGCTGCTGGAGGAGCCCTACAGTGGGAGATGGGGGCTGTAGATGAGACATCTCTCTCCCTTTACTTCTCTGTTGTTGGTGAGATTTTCCTGCGTGCTGTCCCCTTCCCAGCCCCGCAGCAGGGACGGAACAAGTGGAAAGACTACAGGGGGGATGTGAAGGTTTAGCTGTGTTGTTTTGCTAATGGGAGATGAGCGAGAAAGGGCATTGCTGTGTGGTCCCTGTGTCTGGCAGGAGGACTAATGTGAAGAGAGTGGGCTGGGAACATATCTGTACCTGCCACGTGGCTCCTCTCCCACTGGTGAGTCTGTTGAATGAAATGCATCCAATTAGCAGCTCAGGAGGATTGATGAAACACGATTAGTCAGCTTCTGGCTGTGTCCCAGGGGCCAGTGAGTCACCTCACCTTTCCCTCCTCCCCACCCAGCAGCTGCCGGCTTTGTGCTCACTCTCCATCACGGCTGCATCTTGCTCCTGGGCAGGTTTAGCTGTGCAGGGACTTCAGGTGGAGAAGGGTGTCCAAGGAAGGATGTCACCAGCCCACTGCCTAGCAGGGCTTTGGGGACCCCAGCTCCAGCTTGTCCTTCAGGCTGACTTGGCAGAGCTGTGACTGAGGGGAAGGCATGAGTATATTTTTACTGCTCAGTGTGGATGAAGGGATCTGCAGTGGAAAAGAGGTAACGGAGAAGGGTGAGCCAGGGACCGAATCCTGCAGCGACCAGCCAAGAGGGCTCTGTGGCTAGATGGGAAAGCAGGAGTAAAAGTAACAGGATCATCTGCCCCTTGTGGGAGTTTATCAAGAGCAGAGCTGTGACATGTGGCTTCAGTGGCACCTCTAAGGACAAGGAGGAGAAGAGGAGCGGGTGGAGAGTGAACCCATCTGTCTCCCTGCTGTCTGACAAGGCAGCTCATGAACACACAGGAAAAGCACTGGCAAAAGGAGCCAAGGAGATTTGTCTCATCTAGTGTGGCAGGCTGTTGATCTGCAAAACTAGGTGGAATAGTTTCTTTCTATCACCCTTTGGTTTTGGGGGTGGTTTTCCCCTGGTTGTTTAGCTGGGTTTCCCTTAATTTCTCTCAAGCAAGAGAGACAATGGGCTGTGTATGGGAGGCAGGACTGCAGGGAAACACGCCGCATTATCTCTGTGTCCTTGTCACTGTGCCTTTCGGACAGACCTCGCAGCACTTCAGCTGCCTATCTCTGCACGGGTAGCTGTGTCCCCTTCTACTTAGCGATGCCTTTTATTCAGGCTCTGCAATCAGTAACTAAGGCACTGAGACGAGGGGGTCACATAACAGATCACATAAATACAAAGAGCAGAACAGACAAAGAAGTAAAGCTGAACACAAACCAGAACATCACCAGACTCTCCAGCTTAACAAAGCTGGCTCTGAAAAATAGGGAGAGAGTTAGGATGTTTGGAGTAGGTCACACCAAGGTGCATAGAGACTGTATAGCTACTGGAAGTCCTTACCTTACCCCCTAGGTAAGGGGACACCTCTGCAGAACTTTGATCAAAATGTTTCTGTTCAAAGGAGAGGCTTTTGTTCATCTTGCCCTGTCCTTTGGGATGATTTAGGGAAGATAGCAAAAAGCTGTCTGTGTTCTTTGCTAGTCTCCTTTGTCTGTACCTCTATTCCCAACCTCCCAGCACATCCACAGGTATCCATATCCTCATCTTTCCAAGGTGCATTTGCCACAGATTTTATGGGTGTATATGGAAAGGGAGGAGATGCTGCAGCCAGCATCTAGACATCTGGACTAGGAAACCCCTTGGGGACAGGCAGGAGGAACATGAGGGAGTGGAAACCATGAGCCTCTGCAGGGTGGTGGGAAGGAGCAGGTGCCTCTGGTGGGACACCAGCTAAGCCTTATCCTCAGTGTTGGGACAAGGTCTCTCTAGCACGGCTTTCCCCCTCATGTAAATGAGATCTAAAAGGTCTTCAACCTGGGAAGATACCTGTGTACTGTACCTTGACTTCGGTGTGATGAGAGCTGGAAAAAGGTCTACTCTACAAAGACCCTCTCCAGTGTTGCACTAGCTGGTGCTGACCTGCCTTCGTTAGCCCACAGTGCCTCCGTGGTTTTTAGCACGTGGCTTGGCCACACTGGGTCAGACTGACTCACTTGTGGTTGAACTAGTCTGTTCCTATCTTAAACACCTTTACTGTAAGCAAGATAATATCTTCAGTGTGCTGTGCCCTGAGAGCCCTGACAATTCAGTCTGTTTTCACTTCCCTCATACTTTTTTCTTGCTGGTATTAGAGGGGAAAAAAACCCCACCCAACCATTACCACCTCCTTTTGCAGAGAAGCGTGACAGTTCTCCCTTTAACTTCCTTATGGGAGAAAGGTAACACAATCGCTTCCCTTGTCCTGAAAGCAAACCTGGCTTGGCACAGCACATGTCTTCCTCGACCTTCGCTCCTGAGCCCTTTGAGGACAGTACTGACCAAAGAGCAATGCAGCTCCATGAAAACCAGCACAGGTGAAAATTCCTGGCAGTTAAAATGGGGCAAAGATTTTACAGTCATAAAGCTTGAAAGCTCTATATATGTCTGTCTGACGTTATTTCCCAGGGAAATGGGGGTGAAAAATTGACAAGATACTGTAAGTCATGGTGTGGATGTGCTGCTGTGGTGGGTGCAGGTTGACAGAGCCTGGGATGAAAATACAGAGACACCCCGCTGGGAGGTTTGTTGAATGACTCGAAAAGCGACGTGCTGCATCTGATGTCAAAAGTGCTGGTGTTGTACGCTGGCCTGCTTTGATGGCCAGAGGTGAGCGAATGGCTGTGTGTTTTCTGCAGGGTGTAGACTGAAGTATTGGCTGTACTTAAAAATACCTACGAGTGTGGTGTGTGGGTGTTAGGCACACCTGTAAGCATGCATGTGGCTTGGGAAGTCCTGTGCAGGTGACAGTTTTGCTGTGTAGCTGCGTAAGGGTGAATTTCTATTCTGGGTATATTGTGAGTGGCTGGCGGCATGAAACCATAAGCGTGGTAACAAATTCTTTTGTGCTGTTTGATGTTTTTAATTCCTCTTTATATTAAATTCATCTACAGTAACCAGTTCTTCCATGTTTGACAAAGTGTTGAACAATGCCTGCGCGGTCCCCTGGGAGCCCTGTGCAGGCTGTCAGTGTAATCCCCCGCGTTTAGCTGATCTGTGCTGTCTTTTCTCTAGTCTTTGTAATGAGCAAAGTTATTTCCTAACCTCTGGCTGTTAAAGCCCCATATGCAAAGTGCAGACATTTAATTTTCCCTCTTTTAATTTTGCAAAGCATTTGTTATTTTGAGGAAGCTGTGTAAGCAACTCTGCTTCCTCTGCGCTGCCTTTTCACAGCTTCTCGTTCCACAGATCTCTGCACATTGTGTTCTTTAGTCATGTTTAAAACCCCAGCCTGGGGTTCCCTGATGGCCATGCAGACTGCGAGGCACAAGAGCAGCAAGAGGAACTAGCAGTGTGGAAAATCTGCTCATTGGCATGAAAAGCCACAAAGCTGGTGTTAGCAGCAGTAGTTTTGAGAATTGTTTGCGGTCCCTTGAAGCAGTGCAATTGTTATCTGCCTGATTTTGCTTGAAATATTTAGGATTAGCATCAAAATTAGACAGTTCTTGACAATGTCTTGGTTGCCAAACAATTCAGCCCACCGAAGGCAGACAGGGCTGGACCAAAAGGCCAAGCGACAGACCTAGGTGAGACTTCTGTCCCCAAGATCTTTCTCTGCTCGTTGCTTCTAGACATCAAAGTTTGCAGGTCAGATTTCTTATAAAAAATAAATATATGCCATTGTGTTTCAAAGGTTCAAGTTTTGAATGAAGAAGCTCTATATTGACATGCTGCTTAGGAACCCCAGTCACGCCAAGAGGCGAGTGGTCGTTGGGCAGTGTTGTTGATAGAGATTTTACTCTTCCAGGGTGAACATTCCCCCTTGAAATCCTCTTTCTGTCCTTCTTCTCTTTTTCCATTCATCTTCTTTGGGGGTCCAGTGTCTTGTGTGATAGGGTCCTCCCATGCAGGAGTGGAAAGAAGCAGCAGTATGCAGCATCTCATAGGCCAAGGGCAGTGTAGGACCAGAGCCCTGCAATGAAAAAGGGAGGCACCTGGACTCTTGGAGGTGGAAGCTTGTAGTTCATATACTTCATGAAAAATTGCGTGAAGCTGCTGCTTCTCCATCAACTTATCTGAAAGCTTTCTACTGCGGTCATTTCAGAATGCCCTAGTGAACAGTCACAGGCAGTGAACGTGGGGAAAAGTCCTCCAGAAACTGAGTCTGCTGGGTGGATTCTGGTGCCATTTTCAGACATACACTGGCCTCTGTCATGCTGTTGTTGACAGAGCTGCTGTTGCGACATGGCTCTTCTGCAGGGCGGATGGCCACTAAGAACTGGCGCTTGAAGGTCTCGCTGAGGGCAATGTAGAGGAAGGGGTTGAGGCAACTGTTGGCATAGCCCAAGCTAATGGCAAAATTGTAGGCATAAAAGAAGGCCATGGATGGCGTGTCGATGCCAAGGTGAACCAGCTGGAGGATGTAGAAGGGAGCCCAACAAATAAAAAAGGCAGAGCAGATGGCGACTGCCATGCGGGTGACTTTCTTCGTACGTACCCGGAGGCTCCGTTGAGGCAATGGGACCACAGTGGTGGCCATGTGCTGGAGGATCTTAAAATAGACCACACAGATCACAATCAATGGCACAGCAAATGCCAGCATGAACTGATAGAGGGTGAACCAGTAGATATCAGTCTCTGGGTTGGGAAGCAAGAGAGCACAGCGGACGGTCCCATCCTCCAGAGGCATAAGACCTGCATACATCCACACGGGAATGATGGTCAGGAAGGAGAGGAGCCACACCAAGCAGATAACTAGAGCTGCAACACATGGGGTCCGGACATAGGTAGATTTTAGAGGGTAGACAGTCGCCAGGTAACGGTCCAGTGTCATCACTGTAAGGATGTTGGTGCTGGTGATCTGGCTGTTTGTGTCCAGGGCAGTGATGATGGTGCAGAGGGGAGCTCCAAAGTACCATGAGCCGTTACCTAGGAGCTGGTGGATGAGGAACGGCATGCCCAAGAGGAAGAGGAGGTCCACAATGGAGAGGTTGAAGATGAAAATGTCAGGCACGGTCTGTTTGCATCTCAACTTCTTCTTCTTGACGATAGTGTAGATGACAATGAGGTTCCCCACAATGCCCAGGAAACAGATGATGCTGAAGAGACTGGGCATGATCACGTTGGTGTATGGTGCTGGCTTCTCTGCTACTGCCAAAACAAACCAAAGCAGTGAGTGCAACCTAGAGACAACCTCTTTACATCTCTGTGCACTTGCCCTGTCCTGCAGCTGGATCCCCCTCAAAGATGTAGCTTGGAATGATGTTTAAGACCCTCTGCAGTACTTGGAGGGGCTTAGCTGGGGATTTGACACTTCCTTCTCTGCCACTCAGCACACCACCCAAACCTGGCCTTGTGTGGGCATCTTTCCTCCGCTCCCCTGATGTACTTTTGTCCTGCTCTGAAACTTCACAGCTCTTTCCTGTGGGACTGACATCAGGCTGGTGTGCCTCTGTGCTCACCAGTGTCTGACAGAGTTGATAGTAACTTTTCTTCCAGGGAGTGCTGGGTGTCCAGCCATTTTTGAGGGGAGTGGGTGAGGCAGCTGGTGCTTTGCACATTGGAGAAGTAAAGCCTCTATGTGGGTGCCAAAATCTGGACACAGTCAATGCTTAAGCTGTTGTCAGAAAACTTCAACTCATGTATTGGATGGTTTATCTGTTCTGCAGTATGAGACACAGATTTCATGGGCCATGCAGGCAGATGCTTATCTGTATTGTGAGATCTGGACTGTACCCTGTCTGTGTCCCAGCTCTGAGAGTATTAGGCCAGGGCATGCACTCCTTTCCATCTTCCTTCCCTGTCCCTCTCCCTTTCTCTAGTTTCTTTTCTAGAAAGAAACCCAGGTGTGTGGCCAGACAGAGATTTGGGTGTGTGTTTCAACGTGGCCCTTCAACAGGGAATGCCCTAGTTCTACAAGGAGAAAAACATGACTTAAAGCTCCTGTCTCAGAGTTCTGGATGTAGGTGGATTTCCAAGGCAAAATTCTTGCCTGATAACACATTATCAGCACTGGTGCTTGACCGTTGCTCTTTGGGATGGGAAGCCCAAACATAATCAAATTCACATTTGCCTTGTCTCTAACCTGGGTTTAAAATCACATTTTGGTGCCACAAGCCCTCACTGCCAACCAACACGAATTTCTGCTCCTGGGCACTGAAGGTGGTGTCTAAGGCACTGATTGAGGTGTTCTCTTCTGAAAGACTGCCATGTGCAGTGTGTGGTGGAGTCTGAAATCACCCTTCTCAGCTGAGGTGAATCTCATTTTGTCTCATGACTCCTCTCCTATGGGACCTGGTGTTTTGGGTTTTTTTCCTAGGGGAAGGCTTTGCGTGAGTCACTTTTGTGGCTGTTACAAAGACCCGCATGAGCCCTTAAGCCTAGACTGCATCTGTCTTTCATTGAATTGCAGACGATTCAATGTGGTGTTAATTGGAAATGCTTTACCTGTAGGAGAAGTGGGGAAGTGTCCTCCAACAGAACTTTGGGAAATCCTCAAAATGAGATTAAGTGAAATAACAGATTTTCATAAGGTGTTGTCTCTGCCAAAGAGGTGACTGTTCGCTGAGGTAGTATTTGCTGACTTGGACCTCTAGAATTCTTGAGTACAAGCTTCTCCAGATTTACTTTGATGTAACAGAGAAGCTTGACTGGATTGGCAGAATAACTGGGGCTATGCTGCTGGTCTGACCTGTGGCTGGAGAAGTGTGTGCCATATCATCTGTGTGTAATATTTCAGTGCTTTTAGAAGTGGGATGTGATGAGCTGCCTCAGTCCTCCTGTCACTAGGAAGCAGCCGTCTTAGGCATCAGCAAGGCCAAAGTCAGAATTCAGTAGAGTGGTTGCTGTACCATTTTATCTGAAAGCCTCTGTGCAGATGACCTCACACAATGAGGCACAGGAGAACTATCAGGGGTCTGAAGGTGAGAGGCTTGGTTGATAAGACAAAAAAGCCTGGTCCAGGCCATTCATGGAGGTTTAAATGGTCCCTGTTCCTCCTGGCTTCTCATTAATGCAAGGAAATGCCTCATGTTACATGGCTTTCGGTACATAACATACTGTCATTAGCACCCTATTGGGACCTGATACTTACTCTTCTGCATCCAGCCCGTGCATCCCCTGAACATCCAAACAGATCTTGCACCTCCTTAATGCTTGAAGATGGCAGATGAGAAATTGGAACAAGATGACTGGTCCTGCTGTTCTGCACGTAGCTATTATGAGGTCTGCTCTCCTCTCTTTTAGCTCCAAAGTTTGTTATGAATGTGGTGGGAATGGATTGTAAGAGTGAGACATAAAGGCTACCTGGTTAGCTGGAAATTGGGACAAAATGTCCTTTTCCTGCAGTATAATCAATACAGTGCTCATGGTGATCCTGTAACAGCTGCCCTTAAAGCAGAATGTGCGCAAGCCCAAAGGCTTCATGTGAAAGGTAGTCTACATAGTGCTGTAGCATCTTTCCTGCTCTTGGTGTTTGTACAAGCAGGACTTCCAAGTGCTATTAGCTGGAAACTGATGTGAAGCTACAGTTCATGTGTGTATTATAGGCTGGAGTCAGAAGTGCATGACTATCGAATAAGCAAAAGTTATCTCTTTTCTAAAGCCTCTTTCATCTTGAGATACCATTGGATCTGACTTTTTTCAGTGCTGCTCCTGTGCACATCCAAGTGGCTGTACTTTGTTTACTGAAACGGCTACTTCAGGCTTTGATTTGTCCTTGCTTGTAGATCTATGGCTGCCCTGCTGCTCTTTTTAGAAGTCCTAAAGGGGACCACACTGTGTGAACTGAATGAGGACTGGCCTAAATGTTTTTTTCTCTAGGTGATTGTTGTCCTCAGCCCTGCCGAGATACATAAGGAACTACACCTTTACTGCATTTGAGAAGGAAGCACCTTAAGGCACACTTTCAGTTTATAAAGGACATGCTGGTGGAGAGGGAGTCAAAGACCATATAAAAAGCACCTTCTGTTGAAGAATTTCACCAACTTGCACCATTGAGAATTGGTCTACCTGACCATAAACTATTGATTTGGGAACAGTGGTAGCATGGAGAAAACAGGAGATTGATGAGGATCTCTGCTTCCCTCTCCAGCGATATCTCATGTTCTCTGTGCTTGTTCCCCAACCTGTCTAGCTAGGTTGGTTCATCTCTTCTCTGCAGCTAAGACCAACGGGCTGCTGGAGTTATTCCTGTCTCACAGCCAAAAGGTAGCGA